ACTCCTCTTCCCACCTGGAGCCCCAACCCCCCCGCGGAGACACTTCTGGAAGCAGCTCCCGGCGAGTGCGATGCCAGCGGAGCCCGGGATAAGGGTCGGGCTCATCCTGCCCCATATCCCAGGATGTGCCACCCCCAGCCCCATCCGTGCCGAGCTCCCAGGATCCCTCCTGGGCTGGAGGAGCTGAGCTGGGGAGGGGGCTGGGAATAATGGATTCGGGCAGGGGGGATGGTCCGGGGGCAGGTTGGCAGTGACCTCCCAGATTTTGGCTCTTCCCACCCCTGGGGTGCTGGAGAGGGGGGAGAAGGGACCAGCGCCCCCATCCCAGCGGTGGGTGATGGGCACACGGAGCAGGATTTCCCGTCTGGGATTTAGCATAATCCCGGGAAAAACAGCTTCTACCTCAGCGTGGAGGAGGGAAAACCACCTTCCAGCTCTGCCTGGCAGCACCCGGGTTGTCCATTCCCAGCCCCCTGGAGCCAGGGCTCCGTTCCCGTACCTGCACCCGGGCCTCTGTCAGCTCTGTCCGCAGCGCCAGCTGCTCCCGGGCGTAGACATCGGGATAATGTGTCTTCTGGAAAACCTTCTCCAGCTCCTCCAGCTGGAACGTGCTGAAGGTCGTCCTGTTCCTCCGCTTCTTGCTCTTGCTCTTGCCCAGGGGCTCGGGGAGCTCGGGGGCCCCGTGGTCCCGCAGGGCACCCAGAGGTGCTGCCAGCGGGCACCCCAAATCCCCCGGGGCTTTGGGGGGGGCCCGACAGGCTCCGGGAAGCATCTGGAACCCACCTTTGCAGCCCTTCTCACCTGGGGGGAGGCACAGGGGGAGGGGGTGTCAGTGGGGACAAGGAAGCCAAGTGCTCTCCATGCCACAGCCCCATCCCATCCCTTATCCCGAGGGACTGGGATACAGCTCCCAGAGAAAGGGGCTCGGTAGGGACATGCAGCAGGGCAAATCCATCACTGGGGAGGGCAAAATCCTGCTCGAGGTGGGAGAGGAGGGCAGGAAAAGCCCCCCGAGGGTGTGGGAAGCCTGCACGGAGCAGCGGGGGCTCAGGGCCCCGCCGGGATGTTGGGGTGGGCAGGGGGCAGAGGAGGTGGGCACGGGGTTGTCTCGCAGACAGGGCTGAACTCGCCCTGTTCCTCTCCTGGTTCCTCCTCATCCCTCTCCTCCTACTCCCTTTCCGCCCAGGGCAGAGCCAAAGGGCCCCCAGCTCTGGGGGGATCCAGCCCCCCACCCTCAAGCTCGGTTCAGGGGGAGTGGCTGTGCCCCTGGGTCGGCACTTCCCTGGAGCTGCAACTCCCGGGAAAACTCTTGGAAAGGGGTAAAAATTACCCCCTCGCCTTTTTGCTGGAGAAGAACTCCCCTCCCCCGGGGATGAGGGCAGGAAATTTGGGGGTTCTCCCCTTCCCCTCTGTGCTGCTGCACCTCTGGGCTGGTTGATGGAAAGGGATCAAGGTTCGGGGTCACCCTTGTCCCCCCGGGGGGGGTGTTTGTCCCCATGTGGGGACACACAGAACTTGGCGGCTCTGGGGGCTGTGGGGATCCCGAGGAGCTGAGCTGGGAAAGGGAGAGCTGAGGGGGAATCAGGGCATGGGGGGAATGGTTTGGGGTCCCCCAGCAGCCGAGGCGACACAGGGAAGGAGACAACCTGAAAATGCCGGGTTTGCCCTGATCCCAGCCCAATCCCCGGCTCCAGGGATTTGAGATTCCTGGGGGAGTGGATCGCTGGTCCCCTCGGAGGGGCAGGATCAGGAAAATGCCGCCTTTGGAACGGATCCTCCTTCCCAGCCCTTTAACCAACATCCCGAAGGAGCGGGAGAAC